GTGGCTATCACGTATTATAGTCCAGCAATGGGAAAGCCAACTAGTACAGCAATGAATACCATTTTTTTTTGTTTTCTTTGAAGTGACAGGCTTATTTTGTTAATTTAATAAAATGTGTATTTACTGCTCAATCAGAAAATTTGTCATTTGTTTATGTTGTTTTTCCAACTAAATATGATGTTCAGTGGAAACATAAATTGGTTCCACTTGTAGCTCAGTTGCATAAACTGCTTTTTCTAGAGACAACCATCTCTTCAGTCTGCAGCAAAACTGCTTTATGTGCATTTCCCATTTCATCACACAGAATATTAAGACATGGACTTGAGGGTCTAGATTTCATAAAGTTAATTTTTTACTAGCTTTATAAAATCATTCTTAGTGGAATTGATGTTTTCTTTTTATTGTGAGAGGATGGTGGTGAAAAATGCTATAACCATCATCATAGTATCACTACCTTGATTTTTCTCATGGAACCCACAGTTTTACCCATCATTGCTTTTGTAACACTGATAACTAACACAATAAAGAAGAAAAATAGCATCTTAATTTTGTTATGAAAACAGCTTTGACTTTTCAGACTTCTTAAAATGGTATTAAACACACAGAGGATATAGGTTGCATTTTCAAAGTTGCTGGAGTAGAGTTCAATATCATGATAGTCTTGACTTTTCTCCTGGCATAACAACAGCCAGCTTCTTTCTCCATTTTCCACAGAGTTGCTTCATCAGAAGTAAGAAATTATTGCTAGGAGTAGTGGCACATGCCTGTAATACCAGCACTCTGGGAGGCTGAGGCAGAAAGATTGCAAGTTTGACCCTAGGCTGGGCAACTAAGCAAGACCCTGTATCAAAATAAACAATAAAAATGGACTTGGGGATGTAGCTTAGTGCAAAGGCCCTGGGTTCAATCTTGCATATCCAGGACTGCAGAAAAAAATTGGCTTTGCCCCTATATAAAAAAAAGAATTTTGAGACAGGGTCTTGCTGTGTAGTTCAGGCTAGCCTTGAACTCACTATATAGCCCAGGCTGGCCTCGAACTCATGGTGATCCTCCTGCCTCAGCCTCCCTAGTGCTGTGATTGCTGGCTGTGCCTCTCTGCCCAGACCCCAAGAATTTCTTAAAGATCTGCTTATTATTTTCCCATCTTAGAAAAAAGAGGCAAATAGAATGAGAAAAAAGCAACCATGTACTGCTTACCAGGTACCAACTACCCTAGTATGAGTTCTAAGAGCTACAAAATTCTGTTTCTGCCACCAAGACAGTGCAATCTAGTCATTAAGAAGTGAGTACCTGTTTCTAAGGAGTCAGCTTCAGTGTTAATAATTCCTTTTTCCTCCCCCTCCAATTCCTCTTTTTTTTTTTTTTTTTTTTTTTTTTGTGGTACTGGGAATTGAGCCCAAGGGCTTCACACTGAATTATGTCCCAGTCCATTAAAAAAAAATTCTATTTTGAGACAGGGTCTCATTAAGTTGCTAAATTGTACATGCTGGGCTAGAATTTGTGATTTTTTACTTTGGCCTCCCAGAGTGCTGGGATTACCAGCATGTGTTACCACTCCCAGCAAGGCCAGCATGTGACTCTAGCCTGAGGCCAGAACTCACATACTTGGGCCACTCCTGGGTTATATTTTCTTCTAAAGTCACTGACTTTCAGGCCTGGTTACCAGCACAGAGATCTGTACAAAGGAGTGGCCCAGAACCACTGTATGTAGTGATCTGTTGTGTGCTTATGATCACATTTTACTTAACCTCTCTGTGCTTTGGTGTGCTCAAAAACAGGGAGAAATAAATTGAAATGATGACGAAGGATGATAATATTGCTGCCTGTGGAGACTCCATTAGTAATGGTCTGATAAGTAGGATAGCACATGGTAAACAGAAGTGAATCTATTATTTTAAAAATTTGTAGTACTGGGCAGGTAATCACCATGCAGTACACATTGGCTGTTTTGACTGAATGCACTGCCCCCCGCTTTTCAATACAATACAAGGCAAATACACACTTCATTTGTTATTTATGTGTTTGCTCATTTGTTTTTTCTGCAATGTTTTACTGAATACAAACTATAACAGTCACTGTGTTAGGTGATGAAGCTATAGTTGGTAGCTCTAAAATAACTAATATTTCCCTACAGATACTAGAGAAGTAATGTGGTTATTTTCCACAGGACTCCTCTGTTCAGTTAATGCCAACTACTCTACCATTTTCCTCTGTTCATTTTTTTTGTTGTTGTTCTTTCCTGAAATAAAGCCAGTCCACTAATGGTTGCATCTCGATTTTTAGGTCAACATTTTAGTGTTTTATTTTTATTTTTTTCACATGCTGGGCTCAATCCTAGGGCTTTTGACATCCTAAGAAAAGCGTTCTACCCTAAGCCACACCCCCAGACCAAGGCTAACATTTTAAATCAAACAAACATAAATGTGGAAATCAGTGTCTACTGTTTTCTGATGTTGTCAATAAGGATTTAGAAATTCAAGCCCAAGCCTACCTTACACAGTTGTCACGGCTTGTGTTTAGATGTCCCCCAAAGCCTCATGAAGTCATGGCTGTCTATTTCAGAGGTGACCAAATCTATGTATGATTTAGTGTATGATGCTGGGATTAAAGGCGTGTAAATTATTAAACCAGTACACTAATTGGTTTAACGTTGCCCTAACCCCCATTAGTCTGGATAAAAGGGGCAGAAAGCCGCCATTAAAGTTTCCTTGCTGCTTTTGCTGTATTCCAACACCATGAACTGTGTTGCCCCTCTTCCATGTGCCACCTTGCCTTGCAGCCAGCTGATTATGGACTGAAACCTCTACAAACTGTCAGTCGAATAAATCTTTCCTCCCTTAACTTGTGGGTGTTGGGTATTTTATTTCAACAATGAGAAAGTAGCTGACACAACAGTACAGGGTTCTCTTATAAAAGTTAAAGTATAAACTAATATTACTCTGATTACAAATAGATTTTTTTTTTAGATGAAACTAATTCATTTTCCAGCAGGTACGATGAAGTTGGTGTTTGAAAATTTCTTTTGGTACCAGGGATCAAACTCAGGACCTTGCGCTTATAAGGCGGGTGGTGGCACCACTGAGCTAAATCCACCCCCTACCCCCCCCACCTTTTAAAGACAGGGTCAGGTTGGCTTTGTACTCATTATGTAGCCCAGGCTGGCCTTGAACTGGTGGCAATCCTCCTGCCTCAGCCTCCTGAGTGCTGGGATTACAGGCGTGCACCACCACGCAAAAATTTTTCACGAACTGTACATATGCAGATGAAAATGCAATTCATTATTACCTTTACCAAAAATGAAATTTTCAAGAATGCGAAGATCCTAACTGAAGAACATAAATTTTAACATGTATTCACAGGAACTGAAAGTAAGATTTGAAATTTAAAGAAAATAATCTTTGAGTGGTAGGAAAACTAATCTTTTTTTTTGCGGTACTGGGGATCGAACTCAGGACCTTGGGCTTTGCCAGGCAGGTGGGCCCCACATCCCCAGCCCTATCATTTTTCTTTAACGGCGCTTACACTTCTTTCCTTCTGAAGGATTGCATTCTTCCTAATCTTAGGAGACAGCAGAATATATAAAAATCACTGTACAGGTATACAGCAAATTTGTCTTTAAAATTTCATTTTTGACGATTTGAAAATTAAATCATATTTTAAATGAAACAGAAGAAATTTTCATATGAAGCTTCTAAGATGAATTCTACAAATCCTAAGGAATTCTAAGGAAAAAACTTCCCTAAATTATTTTCAATATCTGGATTTGTGTATTTCATGTATTTTAGGGCAAAGTGTGTGTTATAGTAGAATCTATTGTATTCTTTTTTATTTGTCAAATTGAAATCATACTGTGTCACTCTATTAAGTATCTTAGAAATAAAAGTATAATGTGAGTCATGAGCTGAGTATGCTAACAACAATACAATTAATGCTAATATGAGTTTTGCTTGTTGTCTCAGCACCATTCAACACCGCTGGCCATGCCCTGTTTCTTTAATGTGATTTTTTTTGGCTTATATTGACATTTCCTTCTCTTCTTTCTTTTTCTTCTCTAACTTTAGATATCTGTAGCTCTACATAGAGCTTTTTAGATCATAGTCCTGGGTCTGTCTTAATTTTACAGAACCAAACTTCATGGATTCACATCCTGACTAGAGTATTTGAACTTGCTATAGACAAGACTTAAACTGTCTGCTTCTGTGTCCTAATTTATTAAAGGAAATAATAAAAATGTCTGCTTCACTGAGTTATATTGAAGGCTGAGTAAATAAGTTTAAATAATTTAATACCTGATATATAACAGGCATGCAATATATCTTATTGTTTTTATTCTGTAATGAAGCATTATTCTTGTTTCCTCAGTAATTACATCAATTCCCACCCAGATGCTGACAAATCCCAAATTTCTATCTTTAGTCCAGATCCCCTCTTTGAGATTCAGACCTTATGTATCTGAGCCTTCAGTATCTTTCCTTGAATGCCTCAAATACTTTGAAATGTATTCAGAATTGAAAGTTAAGTGATTAATCTTCCTTCTCCACCTCCAACTTGGTCCTCAAAACATTAAATATTCTTAAAGGGCATATTCACCTTCAAAACAGAAACTGTCAATTCTTTTAGTATCAACTTTTGAATATGGCAAATTTATAATACAGGTATAAAAAGAGAGTTCTTAGCTTATTCGTTACGGTTTAGATCTAAAATGTCCTTCACAAGTTTCCCATGTTCAGAAGTGGAGTTTTCTGAATGGGATCAGATTGTGAGGACTCTAACGTAATTGGGGTAATGAGATCATAATTTGGTGGCATTACTGAGAGATGATGGAAAGAGGAAGAGGAACCCAGTTAAAGGGAGTGGATCATGGGGTGTGACCTTGGGGATTATACCTGGTCTTCAGCCCTTTCCTCTCGGCTCTTTCCCTCTCTCGACTTCCTGGCTGCTTGAGTTGAGCAGCTCTCCTCTACTACCTGGTAGAATACTATTGTTCTGTGTCATCCTAGGTCTAAAGCAATGGAGTTAACCTACCATGGACTGAAAACTCTGAAACCATGAGCCAAAACACTGGTGAGTATTTTACCACAGTGACGGAAATCTAACACAGCATGGCTGATCTTGTTTCATTTATGTTGCTGATCACTTCACCATGCCCCACATTAGACTGCAAGTGAATCTTGAACACCATATTATCTCATGCATATATGTTTTTGTGTGTATCTCATAATTAAGGACTCTTTTAAATACTTTATCAAAATATCGTGAATTGTCTCAACTATTTTTTTGTTTATTTTAATCAGAATTCACAAGTTGTAAATGTTAATACATCTCCTCTTCTAATTGTCATTTTGAATCTTCCTTGTCCAAATATATTTGTTGAAGCATCATTTGACTTATTGTTTTCTTTGTTTTTGTTTTTTGTCTCCTGAATTTTCTGTGAATTGTTAGATCTAAAGATTTGGCATGGTTTTGTTCAGGGTTTTCATCGCTTTTCTTTTATCTTTAGTATTGGATACTGAACTCACCACTTCAGGTTAGCCATGCATTCAACCACTACAGCTAAGTCTCCACTACTCCGCTACCACCGTTTGTAAATTTTATTTTGAGACAAGGTCTCATTATGTTGCTCAGGCTGCCTTTGAAGTTGAGAGCCTCCTGGTTCAGTCTCCTGGCGTAGCTAGAAATACAGCCAGGTTTGCCTTTCTGATAAGGATTCTGCATGGGAAGTATCAGGCACTTTCATCAGGAAGCATGTAAAATCTGGTCACATCTCTATTTTTTTATGTTAACACCCAGTGTTGGTTACTGTTTAGAATATATCTGTTATAACATTGGTGGTTACATAATATTAATGTACTCTGTTTATTACTCTTTCACTTACTGGTTGAAATACTGTTGTTAAGAGAAACTTCTCACTGCTTTGGATACCTAGTAGTCACTTCCATTTAAAAAACACAACATACTTAGTTCTTTCCCCTTGTTTATCAGCATAATGTTAATCCTATATTATCTTTCATAGGTGATCCATGAACTTTAGAAAAAGTTTTGAGTATTTCAATCCATTATAATAATTATTTTTATTGATGTTCAAATAATGACATCTTTAAGTAACAGGAGCTTCTTCACTTTGACTCTTGAGTCCTTTTGACAAACCTCCGTAGTCTTTCGCAGCTTCCTTATTTTCTTGTAAGCCAGCCGTTTCAAGATCATTTTAAACATCTGCTGCTCAAGTAGTGAGGTCGTCCATTTCTCCAAGGAACTAACTGCTGTTTAGGAGCCACAATCTGAATTTTTAGGAGTGGTCATTGCTGCTGCAGTGGTAATTCTCTGTAGGCTTGTTCAGTGGGCACAGCTAAGAGTACGTAAAACTTTTAAAAGAAAAAAATAGGAGTTCCTAGCATCTTAAACATAAATTTAAAATTGCAATATGTTTTACTTAACTTTTTATTTGTTAATTTGTGTCCTTTCTACTATTGTTAAAAATACTGGTCCTTGCTTGGGCGTGGTGGCACACACCTATAATCCCAGTACACAGGAGGCTGAGGCAGGAGGATCGCTGTGAGTTCAAGACCAGCCTGGGCTACATAGCGCGTCCCAGGTTAGTCTCAACTACATACTGAGACCCTGTCTCAAAAAACAACAACAACAAATAAATAAAACTAAACTAAAAAAACCCAAAACAACAACAACAACAAAAAACTGGTCCTTGGGAAGGGGATTTAGTTCAGAGCTGCTGCCTGCTTTGCAAGTTCAAGGTCCTGAGTTCATCCCTGGTACCCGCCCACCAAATATACTGGTCCTTAATGGTGTAAATGTAATTACTTTTTTTTTTTTATACTGGGCATTGAAATCAGGGCCTTCACAGTAAGTTGTGTCCCTAGGCTTTTAAAAAAAACTTTAAATGTTGAGACAGGATCTTACTACATTACTACATTGCCCCGCCAGGTTTAAATTTGTGATCTTTCTACATCAGCCTCCCTGAGTGCTAGTGGTATGTGTCACCATCTGGCTAATTACTTCTTTTCTTTTCTTTCTTTCTTTTTTTTTTGGTACCGGGGATCAAACTCAGGACCTTGTGCTTTGCCAGGCAGGCGCTGTGCCTCTGAGCTAAATCCCCAGCCCAGATTACTTATTTTCTTTATCATAGATTATATAAAAATGTTTCAGAGCAACACAACCAATGTTATCACTAACGATACAATTAATGAAAATTACTGTATTTTCAATTCATTTGAAACAGTTCTCCATGTGACTTAAGCGATCAACTCATTGCACAGATTTATTTCATTTTGCTTTATAGTTTTAGAGATTCAGAAAAATTAAATCTTAATTTTAATTACATAAAACAGTGGAATAATTCCAATGAAACCTATCAAAGTGTATTCAAAGAAGGAGGAACAGGGAATGAAAGAAGAAATTAAGATGTTTCATGTGCATGTACCAGCTCCATACAAGGAGTGTCAGATTATGTACTGCAAATGTATACTAATTAAAATGTGTCTTTAATTAGCTGCATATAATAAGGTCTGTCATTTATGTTTGATGGAATGACTTATATGCTTGTTTACTATTTTAATTTAGTAAACTATGCTTATTATCTTAATTTTTGTTTTATTTGCCTCATATATCTTCTGTCCATTTTTTCTTCTTTCCTGATTTCTATTAAATATTTCTGTAGGGCCACCTGCTTTCTGGGTCCTCTCCTGATTCTCAGGTGCTGCCTCTCTGTCAATAAATTTCCTACTCTCAAAATACGAAGGAAAACAAAACAAAACAAAATTTATGTAACCTTCAAAAAAGGCAGTCTATCATCTATCCCTATCTTTCTTGCAATTTCTTTCCTCCTACATATAGTCATTTAAGAACCTTTATGCTTCATCTTGCTACTGAAAAAGTAAGCAAAAACATGTTTTTGTATCCTCCCTCCTTTTAAAAATAAATGGTAATATATCGTCATTCAACTCCCCCTTTTTTTTTTTTTTCCGCTGCCTGCATATTCTGGAGATCACTTTTATAGCAGTATATGAAAATAGACTTACTTCCTTGTATAGTTTCATAATACTTAATTGACTGGGTGGATCATGGTTTATTCAACCAGAACTCATGATGGAGGTTTGCATTGTTTCTGGTTTCATGTTGGTAAATGTTTAACAATCAGTTCTCTAGTAAGGAAAATTTTCATTAGAAAAAAGTTTTTTTCTTTAGTCACCGTGAACTCTCTTGCATCATGGCTGATTGATTTCAAGCTACCAACAGAATTCACTGACTGAAATTGGGAAATGATGCACAGTAGCATATCATTAGATGGAATTTCTAACATTCAAATATTATACATGTAAAGAACCTTAAACACATAAATAATAATAAAGTATTATGAATAATTAGGAAATGAAGGCTGGGCATGGTGGCGCACGCCTGTAATCCCAGCACTCAGGAGGCTGAGGCAGGAGGATCACTGTGTTCAGGACCAACCTGGGCTACATAGTGAGTTCCAGTTCAGTCTCAACTACATAGTGATATCCTGTCTCAAAAAAAAAAAAAAATTATGGATTTTGGATATGTATTACCTTTGTTTTTAACATTTATTGTGTTTATATAATTTAATTTCTAACAATGGCTATGTTTAACAATGAGCTTACTAAATTGCTAAAAATTTAACTGCTAGGGGCCAGCAATTTAGCTCAGTGGTGCTGCACCTGCCTTACAAAGCACAAGGTCCTGAGTTCAATCCCCATTCAAAAAACAAAACAAAACAACAGCAACAACAACAACAACAACAACAAAAAAAAAACGGTTCTTTCAAGTGGGTGCAAGTCAGCTGTAATAGATTCACTGGTTGCTATTACAGATATTTCTAGGCTGAATATTTTATACATGTGTCAATTTTGTATATTTGCCAGTTTATCTTTAGGAGATGTTTTAGAAGTGGGATTGTGACTCAAAAGATAAATGCTTGTGTTGTTAAATTGTCTTTGAAAGAGGTTGTACCATTTGGCAATCCCTCCAATGTTAAGTAAGAATGTTTCATCAAGTCTCACAAACAGAAAATGTTGTCAAGATTTTGGATTTTCCCCAAATAGGCGAAAAATGTTACCTCACCATTGATCTCATTGGCACTTTATCTTATGTATAAAACTGGTCATTTTTTATACCCTTTAAACACTTCCTTCACTCCTCCCCTGTTGCTCATGTTTCACATACAACCAAGGATTTGTTTTTTGTTGTCAGCCTCACTTGTAAGGATTCCAGATAAATCTACAATCCTCTTATCTGGATTGATATTTAGGCTTCCTATTTTGTCTGGCTGCATCCACTTTTGCCTTCTCTTATCCATTCTCTAGAGATCAGGCGGAGGAATCTTTCCAAGATAAATGGAATCACATCACTTATCTGCTCCTGATACTTTAGTGGCCTCCTGCTGTACTTTAGAATCCAAATACCTTAGTCTGGTCTATAGGCCACCGGAGAGAACTTTGTCACAAAAATACACTTAACTTTAAAGGAGTCTGGCAAATATAGTATGGAAAGTAGAAGAAGGAGGAGAAAATTTTTCTTATACTAGCACAAGTTATACACACAATCAATTCGAAAATGATTAAATGCAGTTGTAGTTTATTTAGTAAGATGTCTTAGGGTAGGTAATAAATATGACATTGTAGAGAGAAAGTAGAAGAATACATGTAAAGGCCAATAGGCAGGAATAAGAAATTATTTCTGGGCAATAGGAAGCAAAAGACAGTCCTAAGTGGAGGCTGAGTGGTTGAGAATGATCTATGCTATTTCCAGTTGTTGAGGTTTCCAGCATATTAAAATAGAAATAAATTTCAAAACAGGGCTGAAAATTTTATGGTAAATTTCAAAGAGATCTCTCACACTTGCAACACCAAAGAAAACCAAAACCAAAACAAAAAACAAAAAATCCATAACTGTACCATTCTCAAAATGACTATACAAGCCTGGTGTGGTGGCGCACACCTGTAATCTCAGCAGGCAGGAGGCTGAGGTAGGGGAGATCACCATGAGTTTGAGGACAACCTGGACTACATAGTGAGTTCAAGACTTGCCTGAACCACATAGTGAGACCTTGTCTCAAATGACCAAAACAAAACAAAGCACAAGAAAGAAAGAGATGTCTATACATAAGATATTAATTTATCATACACCACAAATGAAATGCTACAGCAATAGAGCACAAGTTTTAAAGTCCTATGATGTACGATGTATGTCTCTTTTCAATCTTACTAGGGTGTCTGTCCTTGGGACTGTTATGAATTGAACTGCGTTGCTCTCTATGTTCATCAGGGTTCTCTGGAGAAATGGCCTATAGAATGTTCATGTTTATGCATGCACGGGCAAATGTGTGAGTTGTTATGAAGAATTGGCAGATACAATTATGGAGGCTTCCAAGTCTAATATCTGCAGCACAGGCCAGCAGGCTGGAGACCCAGAGAGCTGATGGCGCAGATGAAGTCTGAAGCCTCTCTGTGAGAGAATTCCCTCTTTCTAGGGAAGGCCAGTCTTTTTGTTCTATTATTTGCTAAGCCCCTCTCACATTAAGGAGGGGAATATGCAGTACACAGTTTATTAACATAAATGTTAGTCTCGTCCAAAAACAATTTTCAAGATGACACATGAAGTTAACCTTCATAATGTCCAGCCCCCACAGAGACGTTAAGGTCCTAATGCTCAGTACCTCAGTATGTGAACCAACTGAACTAACACTTTGGTTTCAGACTTAGAGACTCCCAAACCATGAAATAATAAATCCCATGGTTCTAACTAAGCTGCTGATAGTACCTTGTCACAGCAGCCTCAGGAAGCTTAATACATACTGTATGGATGACTACAACTGCAGGTAAAACAATTATTATAAAGCTGACACATGGAATAAATGTCTCTATATCAACTCACTATTAGTCAAGGTTCTAAAAATTGTCAGGGACAGTTTAATGCTAATCATCTCACCAGTGTCAGTGGTGAGACTGAGCTTTTGGAAATTGTTAAACAGTTTTCCAAACTGTCCTGTGTCTATCCCTCCTCTCCAGCCATCAATAGGATCCGTCAGCTGCCTATATTAATGCTTACATCTTATAAAATAAGTGTGGCCATTTATGGGAGAAACTGGTCTGAGACCACTCCAATCCATGGTAGAGGGAAGGCCCCCACTAGTTGCAAAATGACTGGTGTGTTCAAGGACCCATCAAATAGCTTAAACAGACTTTGGGAGGGGAGATTCTGCTTCATGTAGCAAATTAGACCTTCTTAAAATGAAAATAAGTTTTATTACTTCCTTCTGATCTAGATTCCCACAGAAGCTTTCATTTGTAAAATTCTGGCTTTTTCTTTTGTTTATCAGCCATGGGCCACTACAGGATCATGGATGCTGTCGTCAGAGAGGCTGACACCAAACGGTGCATGCTAGGTACTGTTGAAAGACTAACCCAGAAATCCTGGAGTCAGGCAAGTTTCAATCCTAGCTCTGCCACTTTCTAGGTGATGGACACAGAGTCAGCCATTGAGTCTTTCTGACTCAAATTTCTCCTTTAGTAAAGCCGTGGAGAAGAGCCCTTGACTTCTTCTTCATTCTATCTCCCACAGTATTTGCAGGAAATCTATCTTAATTTGGTAACCAGATAAAAACTGATGTTATTTTTAAAAAATATATTAATTCTTGTTATATTTACTTCATGAAATTGTGGGAAGATCAATGTGACAGTAAATGTAATATTAATAGACAAAAATATAACAATATATGGTTGTGATAGATTATTGTCTTGTGAATGACATCAATTACCTGAAAACATATTTCTGATTTAATATTGTGAATGCCTGTGTTTCATTTATGGCTTTAGATGATTTGCTGGTGATTTGTGCATGTATATACATGTTTCTATTTTAAAATCTAGAACTGCTAGTGTGTTTAATTTGAGCACATGACCGCCATCAGCTAGGTGTAGCAGTGTATAAATGTAATCCCAGCAGTGTGGGAGGCTGAGGCAGCCTGTACAATTCAAAAACCCCCA